CCCCCCGCCAAGAATATCACAAGAGTCATCAATAACTGTGAAACTCGCGGGATTTTCCATCCAGTCCCAGGAGCTGATCTCAGTGGGCAATGCCCAGAAAAGCTTGGAGAATGTCTGCGGCTGGTCTTACATCCAGCAGAGGGAGCAAAGCCCCAACCAGCAGCATGACCACCTGGTCTACTTGAGCAGACGCGAGTTTGGACCCTCCGGCATGCTGGGTACCGATGCTCGCTCCAGACTACCGTGCAAATATGACTTCACGAAAGTGCTAATCTGACCCGGTGCTAACGCTAAGGCTAATACGACCGCCGCGACTTGGCCTACGGCTCACATGGGCGAACGCCAGTACGGCCGATGCCGACGTCGCCATTTCTACGATCGCTGCCGCTAAAACCGTCTGGAGCCCTGAAAGCGTAACGCGCCACTCATCGTAACACTCCGTGCAGGCTACGCTCCTGTCACAGGAATGTGTAAGATGCACCAGAGCTGCGTTCTGGTCTTCGAGGACGGCTTCTCGTCAGCCTTCGTGGCAGCGCACGAAATCGGACACGTGTGAGGCACACAAACACGCAAACAAGACGCCGCCGCCGCCGCCGCTTTGCCCTGGCTAGCGTGAGCATTCGCCGCGTGTCCCCGCTCAGGTTGGGAATGGAGCACGACGGAGAGGTCAACGAGTGCGACGATGACGTGTCCCTGGGCAGCATCATGTCGCCGCAAGTGGAGGCCACGTTCTACCGCTACCACTGGTCCAGGTGCAGCTGGAGCGAGCTGCACAAGTACCTGCCGTAAGCCCGCGCCACCTTTCCACAACACTTCCTCCGCCCCTTCCTGCACACCCCCTGCCCGCTGTCTATCCCTTCCCGTGGCGTGCCTGTGCATTTCTTGTCCCCTTCCCAAGCAATTTCTGTCCATTCTCTCGATTTGTCCCCATCCGCTTCCTTTCCCCTTGGTCGCCACCTCCTGCGCCATCCCCGTGTCACGAGCGTTTGCCTTTCCCCGGCCAGCACATACGACTGTCTCCGAGATGACCCGTTCAGCCCCGACTGGCCAATTCCGCCCCTTTTGCCAGGCTTTGAGTACTCCATGGAGCAGCAGTGCAGCTTTGACTTCGGTCCAGGATACGGAACTTGTAACGCCGTAAGTCTTTACGTTTGCCTTTTTCCCTTTGGGCTCCTTTGCGTCTTCTGGCCCTGTTGCGGGCACCGTCGCTGTTTTGTTGTGGTTGTGGAGGCGGCGTTCTCGCTCCCGTCCGCGTTTGTTTCTTGATTTGGAGCACCTGAGCCGGTCTCTTTATGAGGAAGGCGTTGATGCCCGCTGCTCTATTTGATGTTCTTGTCAGTATCCCAACTCGCAGCCTTGCCAGCAGCTGTGGTGCAGCGACAACAACCATCCTTTGTTCTGCAGATCCAAGAAAGGTCCGCCTCTGGACGGGACGCCGTGCGGACCCGGCATGGTGAGCGCCGCCGCCGCCGCCGCCGCCGCGTTCACCGGTGCTCTGAATGACAGCAATCCCCGCGGCGCACGTCTCCATCTTCCTTAGCACTGCTTCAAAGGATTCTGCATCACGCTGACAGCCAACCTCCTGAGACAGGATGGCGGCTGGAGCTCGTGGAGCGCCTACACCGACTGCTCCAGGACCTGCGGGGGCGGCGTCCGGATCCGCTCCAGGAACTGCGACAGCCCACCGTGAGCGAGCGACGCGTTGGCGCCCAGATTCAAAGGCTGAGCTGAGAACGAGTCAACGTTTTCCATACACGGCCAGAGATCCCAATCAGAGAGGCTTTCTCTTGCTCTGTCCAGGCCGGCCAACGGGGGGCGCACCTGCTTTGGAAACAGTTTCGAGTTCCAACTGTGCAACCAACAACACCGGTGTCCCCCCATGACTGACTTCAGGTGAGTGAGTAAGACGCCAAACCCCGACGTGGAATGGAATGATATGAGGTGAGGTGAGGGTCTTGATTTGATGACTGTCGACCCATGTCAGTGTCTTTCCAGGGTATTCACAACCGAGCTGTTTTGGTTGTTAAACCAAAAAAAAAAAAAAACGACCAGAACCATTCTGCTTGACTTAGGAAATCAAAAACCCAGAACTGTCCAGTTGCGATCAAGTCAATGACCGAAGACGACTTGGTCCGACCAAATGACCGGAATGAATTGCAATGATGATGCGGATTGACTTTGTGAGCCGAAGTCGATGGCTTGAAGTGATTCTGCTGATTTGGAATGTCGTGGAGTGACTTGAGTTGGCCTTCCCGAATGCCCGGAATGACTTGACGTCTGGATTGACTTGGGATGACTTGTTGAATCAGGACTGACCTGCAGTAACTTGGAATGACGCGTGAGAAGTGGATGCGTTGGATTGAGCTGACGACTGCTCTGACTCGATGACTCGGAGCGACTGGGAATAAACTGCAAGACGCTGCGATGACGTGTCAATGACCTGGAATGACGTGGAACAATTTAGCCATGACTTTGAAGAACTGGATGAACTGGAACGAGCGCTCTGACTTGCGGACTCGGAATCATTTGGAATACTGGCTTGGAAGAAGTCAAGGAATCGGAATGACGGCAATGGCTTTGATGACTGGATTGACTCGGGAGGACTCTGAAGTGACTTGCGACGCCTTGGCATGACTGCGAACGACCTGGAATGACTTTCCATGTGGTGTCTTTCAGGGCGGAGCAGTGTAGCGTCTGGGATGACGTTTTGGAGCACGAGGGAAAAAAACATCGCTGGCTGCCTGTCGAACACGCCGACCGTAATTACACACACATGCAGACGCGCAGTCAGTCGCACGAGCGCACAATATGATGGATGAGCCCGCCCCCCCTCCCGCCCGCCCGGGTGCACGCGTGCATGCGCGCACACATGTTCAAGTCATCAGGCAGTGAGCTGGGAATGTCCTTTTGCTTGCAAGTCTTCTCTTTCGATGTGGAAGCTCAGACAGGACTTGACCCGCCCGCGCTCATTCGCCAGATGCGTCGACACGCCTCACTCATCGAGACTCACCGAATCTCCCGCGGCGCGTCTCGCTCGATGCTCGATGCCTCATCGTCCGCCTCGGCAAGACGGGATGTCTCAAGTCGCTTTGGCTCACTCATTCGGTCGTACCCGCCCTGTCACGCTCGCCGTTTCCGTCCGAGTCTCACTCACTTCCTGCGCGGCACGTCTCATCCGCCGGGCCTCGCTGCCTCACTCGGCCCGCCCGTCTTTTGCTGTCCGACGCCTCCGGCTCTCATCGACTCTCTGGCTCGTAATATCTCGCCGCCGCAATGTCTCGCTCCCCGCGTACGGCCGCGGGTGACGGCGGCTGTGTTCCATCAGCGGACGAGCGATGCAATCTGTTCTGTCGCTCCAACGAGACGGGGGCCCTGGTTTTCATGAAGAGAGCGGTGCACGACGGGACGCTGTGCTCTTACGACGACGCCTACAGCGTGTGCGTGCGAGGAGAGTGTGAGGTGTGATCTCGCTCGTCTCATCACCGTCATCGTCGCGCGTCTTGATCATTTCGGCATCGTTCGGACGTGGGTCCGCTCTCTCTGCTTGTCCCCTTTCCTGCTCGTCTCCCGGCTTCCTTGTGGAATTGCCTCCGTGGCTCGGCTCTCCCTCGCCTCCTCGCAGCACGTGGGCTGCGACGGCGAGATCGCGTCGGACCGCCAGGAAGACCGATGCGGGGTGTGCGGCGGCGATCACTCCCGCTGTCGCGTGGTCAAAGGAAACTTCACTCGCAGTGCCAACAAAACAGGTGACTTGAGGATCACAGGCGAACTTTTGGAGCACAGAATTTTGTTTCTGCATGTAAAAAAATAAATAAAAATCCGAAAAAGAGACGCCATGTTGAAGCTCACGTTCAAATAAAGTAGGAGTGATGTGCTCCCTCTTCCGAGTACCGGTCAAGAGGCGGCGTTCTGGACCAACTGGAGACACTTAATGGAGGATCGTCTGACTCCAAAGAAAAGCGCGTAACAGTAATCCGGCCGCGATGCGACGAATAATACGGAATGCCGGCTGTGCCCCAGGTTACCTGAAGATCCTGGAGATTCCTCGAGGGGCGCGACGCCTCCTGGTGCAGGAGTTCAGGAGGACCCCACACGTCCTCGGTAGGCAGGGGCGGGGCGCTACCGTATCCCGAGCCGACCCGCCTATCTCGCCACCCGGATCACCCCGAGTTTCTCGGTTGTCTAGCGGTAATGAACCAGGAGAGCGGTCGCCTCTTCCTGAACGACGAGGACGCGACGCCGACGTCCCGCGCCCTGGTGGAGATGGGCGTGGCCTGGCAGTACACCCACAACGAGGTGCAGGAGGTGTTGCAGGCCGAGGGGCCGCTCAAGTACGCCGTGGTCCTCATGGTGAGCGGGCGCCCTTCCTTCCGTCCGCTCACGTTATGCCTTGTGCGACTTGAGAAGCGTGACGCTCTCTCCGTCAGCTCCGCTCCCACGGCGACGCCAAGGTGACGGTATCCTACAAGTACGTGATCCAGGACCACCTGCGCTCTTCGCTGGAGTCCAACCTGGTGCAGGAGGATGCCATCTTTTATGAGTGGGCGCTCAAGCAGTGGTCCGCGTGCTCCAAGTCGTGCGGCGGAGGTACGGCGCCACCCGGTTGCCGTCGAAAGGGAACGCCGGCTGACTCCGCCTCTTCTGGTCGACAGGGAAACAGTACACCCGCTTTGGATGCCGACGGAAGGCTGACGGGGTGATGGTTCAGAGAACATTCTGCTCCAACATCAGCAAACCGAGAGCCATCACGCGCAGCTGCAACCTTGACGTCTGCAGCCCGCCACGGTAACGTCAGACGCTCGTCACGTTCACGCTCCAATGCGGCCGCGGGAACGGTCCACCGGTCGTCGCGGTAACGGTCAAATTGTTGCCACAGCAACATCAGACACTCGCCACGGCGACACTAATGACGGTCACCTGCTACGCTTGTCACGGTGCGGCGCAACACTCAGCTGGTCGTCAGACGGTCACACCCAACACCGCGGTATCATCGTATGCTTGTCACGGTGTCGCGCGGCACTCAGCCGGTCGCCACGTAGCATCAGACAGTCGTCACGGTAACACTCGACTGGTCTTCAGGGTGACCGTGCGAGCGCCCGTCATCAGAGTAACACTCGGTGAGCCCTGTTGTGTACACACTGCGCACTTCCTGCTCCCAACCGATCAGTTGGATGACCGGCGGCTGGGAGGCCTGCAGCGCCTCCTGTGGACAAAGCGGGTGGCAGCGTCGCTGGGTGGGCTGCCAGCTGGTCTCCGTTGGCGGGCGGCGGCTCTCCGTCAACAGCGAATTGTGCCAGGACCGCCGTCCGGACGCCAAGCGGCCCTGCAACCGCTTCCTGTGCCCGGCGGTGTGGCGGGCCGGGCCCTGGACGCCGGTAAGGGGCCGCGGGGAGGCGGGGCGTTGAGGGCGAGGGGCCGGCTGTGACGCGGCTTCTGTGTCGTCGCAGTGTTCCGTCACCTGTGGCAACGGCACGCAGGAAAGGCAGGTGGCCTGCGTCCGCCCCGAAGGCTCTTCGGGGAACTGCAGCTTGGTCCCGCCCGTCTCCAGCCGCGCGTGCCGAGCGCCACCGTGTGGCGGTAAGCCTGCATCGCCAAGTGGTAGCTTGACATCAAAGTTTCATTTGTTCCGTGACCGGAGGTGGGTGGGAATGCTCTGCCATTTACTTTGTTTCCTCTATCCGAATAACTTTTTGGAAAAAGTGGGGCTACTTCAGTAAGCATTTCCACTGGATACTTTTCGACGCAAGTACCAACTTGGAGGACTGCTCTACTTTATTTGAATATCTTTTTGGAAAAAGTTGGACGACTTCAGTCGCATTCCCACTGGCTACTTTTCGACGCAAGTACCAACTTGGAGGACTGCTTTTTACTTTCACATTGAGTCATCATTTCAAAAGTAGCGGGTTTTACATTCAATCTTGTTTGACGTTTGTTTTTGCAACAGATGTTGAAATTTCAAGTGTAATTTGGATTCTTACAAAAAAAAATCTGTCAGAAAATGTCGTCCAAAGTCAAAAGGCAGAGGCATACCTCCTTATACACCGAAACCCGATTGTACGCCAATTTTTCCCGTGCAGGCGACCCGAAGAACTTCATGGTCCGCTGGCTGTCCAGATCCAACACGGACGTCCCGCTGGCGAAGACCGCCCCAAGTACCGCAAACTCCTTCCGCTTGGCCTTGCTCTTCCGGGCGCACGACGCTGTCGTGACAGCTGACGTTGTTGTTTCTGCAGGGCAGCGTTGCCGCGGCGACCGCTCAGCGTTTTGCCGCATGGAATCTCTCAGTGGCAACTGCGCCAACGCCGGCTACAGACAAATGTGCTGCAAGTCCTGCAGCAACTTCAGGTGACCCACAACCGCCTTCATACCTGTTCATGTGTCGCTTCATCCATAAATGTGGCCGATCAATCAATCAAGAACGGTCAAGGCACATATGAGTACAATGACTCGCTTTGTCCGCAGTTCAAACGCTCCTATTAAAAAGGAAACTCAGTGCTTTACCTTTCTTCATCGAATGATATAAAAATGACACGCAGAGGTGTTCATTCGTCTTCAAAGAACTGTTTATTTACGTGTTGTTCACTCTTGATAAATGCATTCAGGAGTCTTCATGTGTTTTGTTCGTCCATGCTGAGAAGGCTCTTATTGTTGTTGTTTTTTAGCGTGTCCACCACAGGAATGCCACAGTCGAGCCCCTCCCCCAGCAGCAGTGCTTGGACCACGACTCCGCCCCCCGGCACCACCGACTTTATTTACGTGGATTACGACGACGACGATGAGCAGCATTTGGCCTCCCAGAACGCCGCCGAACTCATCGCTCCGACGCCCGTGCCGCCATCTTTCCTGGCGGAGCCCACGCCCACTGTTACTCTGGCATCCTCTGTTGCCACGGTAACTCCCACCGGCCAAACGGCGCCGACTGCCTCACTTAGGACGGCTGTCATCACCCCCAGCGGGAGGAGCCCCGCCGCGGGCCAACGTACGTCTGCCTTTCCACCAACATCTCCGAATACGGCGAAGGATTCGGGGGGCGAGGTTTCCTACGGCATCGTGGGACTGGACACCGATGGGACGAGGGGCCCGCAGAGCCATTTTGTGCCCCAGGTGCCCCCGGTCCGGGAGCGGACGCAAAACAAACGCATCCAGCAGCTTCTGAACGAGAAGCTGCGGAGGCCTGGACGCCGCCGAAAACATGGCGCCTTATAGGACGCGTTGTTTGTGTTTGGGTTCCTTTTAGGCTGGAGAATGGCCCACTTTCGGTGGGCTTGTTTGTGTGAGTTCAATAAAGCAAAGTCTGAAATATCCAGTCTCAAGTCGATCGAGGACACTTTATTTTCAAATGGAAGCATTCGATTCGGTTCACCTTAGCTGGGGATATGATTTGAGTCGATATGCTATGGCTCAGTTCGAGAGTTTCTGATGGAATGCGCTTCTTGTCATTCTACAATGTGAATGTTAAAAAAAAATTTAAAAAAGTCATTTTGTCTCTTGTCTGACAGTGATGTGCGCATCTCCAAGAGACAGCTGGATATGTATGTATCTTGCAAGATGGGATGGGATGCAAATCAAAGACAGTGCAAGTGGAATGATTGAACTCAATTTGATTTTGCGCTCACATCTCTTAAATCCAAACTGATTTGGGATTCAAATTGGATTTTCTTACACACCTATGACAGGCCATTTGTACTTTATCGGAATGCCTAATTTGGCCCACAACTATGCTTGTCAGGCAACAGATTTGGACGAGGCACGTCATAATTCCGGTTCCAGATATCTACTTCAGTATTTCGCCAAGATCTCTTAGTCCTGGTCGAAATCACATTGTAACTAGATTAAATCAGAAGTTGAAGAGAGAGGCAATTCTGTCGTGGATATCCGTAACTCACAACACGGCTGATGAAATCGTGGCTACCTGTCATGACAACATAGACGCGAACAGCAAAAGTGACGCCTTGCAGAAGCAGATCACCGAAATGCTGTTGAGGAATGAAGCTCTTTCGAATGTCACTTTAGGGCAAAACTCAGTTCCATATCTCCGCAACACATTACAGTTAGGTTGTTAACCGAGTTTCCAATTCTTCCCTGCAGAACCCAGTCCTGGCTGCCTCTTCTGACTCAATCCGGGTTAGATTCTCGCCTGCCAGGTTAAAAACTGGGCTCACTGCTTGGAATAGTTCGCAAGATGGCGGCCGCCGTAGTCCGAGGTCTGGGCTCCGCTTTGGCCAAAAATCTCCGTGAAATCCGAATCCACGTCTGCCAAACGTCCGCCGCCAGCAAGGGTACCAGGTGAGCGCCCAAATGTCTCAGTTCGAGAGTTTCTGATGGAATGCGCTTCTTGTCATTCTACAATGTGAATGTTTAAAAAAAAAAGTCATTTTGTCTGTGTCTGTCTGGCAGTGATGTGCGCATCTCCAAGAGACAGCTGGATATGTATCTTGCAAGATGGGATGGGATGCAAATTAAAGACAGTGCAAGTGGAATGATTGAACTCAATTTCATTTTGTGCTCACATCTCTTACATCCAAACTGATTTGGGATTCAAATTGGATTTTCTTACACACCTATGACAGGCCATTTGTACCTTCTCTGAACACTTAATTTGGCCCACGAATGCTTGTCAGGCAACAGATAAGCTCCTGCGCGTTCTTCGGGTCTAACCCAGTCCTGGCTGGCTCTTCTGACTCAATCCGGGCTAGATTCTCGCCTGCCAGGTTAAAAACTGGGCTTACTGTCTTGAATTCATCGCAAGATGGCGGCCGCCGTAGTCCGAGGTCTGGGCTCCGCTTTGGCCAAAAATCTCCGTGAAATCCGAATCCACGTCTGCCAAACGTCCGCCGCCAGCAAGGGTACCAGGTGAGCGCCCAAATGTTCCTCCGGGGACGTTAGAACGGAGACAGAAGAGTCAAAGGTCCGCTGTTATCGCCGACCTGCTAGCATTTAGCAGCGAGCCGCTGCAGCTCAAGGCTAACGTCAAAGTCGACGCAACCCTCACTAATTTGACCCGTTGAAGAGGACGAGAGCAAACGTTATTATCCCGCCCGAAAATGTGATGATTTTTTTTCCGAATATACTTCTACATGAAAGTCTTGAGAAAATGTCATTCTTTTGTACAGGTGCTTCAAATGCCTTGGTCGATTGAAATCCGTTTGAGATTTACCAGTCAGCGTGTGTGTCTGTGTGCGTTGGAGCATGGACAATTGAGGGAATCGCTATACTGAAACCGGTCATGCCAAGTGCAAGCTTAAAACAGTCCCCAGAAGGGTCTGCGCTTCCACCACAGTTGCCCGGAGTCCGGCTAAAACTTGGACCTGTTGGTCTTTGAAAAGGTCAAGGGAGGGAATCGCCAATCGTTAAACAATAAGACTGATCAAACATGCTGCATAGAGGTGATAGATGTTTTTGATTGAAAATATAAAAATGAAACCGTGACGGAAGGGGGTACCCTCCATTTTGCCTTGATTTGATGACTTCAACTTGCTGGTGTCCCAGTGGCCCTTGTTCATCCCATCCTGCGAACTCGGGGCCCTCTGGCTCCTTATCGTAAGCCAACACTTTCAACCTTGGGTCTTAAACTGGACAGAGATTGGAAAATTGGACCGGGAGCTGGCTCAAGTCAAGCCTCTCCTTTCTCAAAAGCACTTGGAGATACAGTCCTTCATCATGCCTTCGTCACGTCGCGGCCGCATGACTGCAATGCACTTGACTTTGGTTTCAGACGATCCTCCAGTTAGTCCAGAAACGCCACCGCTCGCCTCTTGACTGGTACTCGTACTCCTACTCTGGCATCCGTCCACCGGCTCATTTTTTTAATTCTTTTGAAGAGGCTCCGATTTATTTTTCCAATCTTGAAATGACCTGGCCCCACCTCGCCTCTCGGAGCTTCCCTGCCCGATGCCCCAGGTCTGCGGACATTATCAGAGGTATCGAGAACTAAGCGGAGGCTCAGAGGGGGTGGGGCCTTTTCCCTCGCCGCTCCCTCTCTTTGGAATGACCTCCCGCGGATGTTAGGCAAGCCCCCTCGCTGCCCAACTTGAAAACTCCCCTTAAAACTCATGTTTAGTCTTTGGCTTTTGACTCGGCATGAGACTTGGGTCTGACGGTTTTTGTGCTTTTTACTGTCGTCGTCGTTAAATTATTGTTTGTTGTCGTAGGAACGAATTTTGCTCCATGTCCAGCACTTTGGATACAGCGCTAGTTGTTTTCAAGTGCTCTCGAAATGCAGTTGAGTCGAGTCTTGGTGTTTGAGCGACATCCTCTTTGCTTTTCAGAGACTTTGTGGAGCAGCACTACGTGGACCTGAAGCGAGCCAACGCAGACTTCCCCATCCTGGTCCGAGAATGTTCCGGAGTGGAGGCCCGGCTGTGGGCCCGTTACGGTGAGTGGCAGCAAGGCATCATGGGAGACAAAATGTGTATGACAACACAGGTAGCTTTAAAGCAGCGCTCTCAAACTCTGGTCCTCGACGGCCTCTTTCTTGCAGTAATGTCCACCTCAACCCCCCCCCCCCCCCCCACCCTTATTTTTTTGGACAAAAATCCAATCGTTTTTGTCCATCTCAAGGGGTGGCCATTTTGCCACTTTTTGTCAACTGAAAATGACCTCACAGTTGCTCAGGGGCGCAAGCAACGACCACCACGCTCCCCTGTTGCACGAAATAGTGCATTGACGCTGTCCGTGTTGTGGTGTGTGTCTACCGACAGATTTGGGGAAGGAGCGCAGCGTCTCCCTGGACAACATGTCCGTTGATCAGGTGGCCCAAAGTCTGCACACGCTGGTTCAGGCCAAGCCATGACACACCTGCGCAAACCGTGAAAACACGCCTTGTCATGTATCGATGTGAATAAGAAAAAAAAAACAAAAAACAAGTGAAGCTTTTTGGTTGTTAATGTCAAAAAAAAAGGAATTAAAGATGGTCCATTTAGTCGGACTGAGTGGATGAAAGCAGCCGCACTGACTCATGTCGCGCCAGCTGGTCCTGTGGAACCTGCAGCAGTGACGTTGGTGTCCTGAGGGGGGCAGCAGAGCGTCGTAGCGCGCCTTGCGTTTTTCCACGTCAAGCCTCTGCTCAGGACTGAGCGATTGACTTGCCAAAACTCATTTTTGCCCATGAAACGTCTTGACTGAGTCATCTTTCCAAATTGGCCACTCGGATTGTTGCTAAGCCACATTTCAGGCTATTATGGACAAATTTCAGAGTTAGTATTTAAAAGTCATCGGACGAACCACATTTGATTTCATACGTTGTTTGCTGTAAGCACTCGTGAAAATCGTTCACAAATAAATATTTGGTCTCGTGCTTACCTCCTGTAGATCCTAAACACGCTGATTCTATTCAACCACCCAGATAAGGCACTCGAGAACAGATTACTTCTACTTCTTGTTTTTTGGGGAGTGTTTAATGCATTTCTCAAGTATGTCCGTGCATCTTTCAACTGATACTTTTCGACACCGTGCAGTCGTCTGCGGACAGCCTCATACAACTCACAGACACCGTCTAAACTGCTGGCAACAAACCTCAGTACGCCGATTGGGCTCAGTCACTGTTTTGTGTGGCCACCAGAATTTTACCAAAAGAATTCACTGCCAAACGATTTCGTCATTTTTATTTCCACACAAATCTACAATCACACAACTTTGATATCAAACTTCCTGTCATGCTTTTATACTTGCGGAAAAGAACGCTGAGGAGGTCACAACAGAGGAATGACGTCACGAGTACGCAGTATTTCAAGGCAAAATAAATAACATGTCTGTTGGGGGTGAGTCGTGGGGGGGGCAGCCATCTTAGGTCACCATGTACTCCTGCCGCTTGTTGAGTCGAACCTGGCACAGCGACACGGCGCCCACCGCCACGTAGACGGCGGCCGCGCTGAAGCAGTTGATGCCCACTTGGCTGTGGGGACCGC